GGTTGCAGGGTAGATGATTTTACTCCTTTCTGAGCTGCAGGACACTTAAAAGTGCCCACCTTTGTTATTGTCCTGTACTAAATTCACACTGACAAGGTCAGCAGATACTTCAAAGGGAACAGGTTGCAACATGATTGGTTGTTTAGTGGAAAAGCATTACATTTACTACTGTTCTTGAGAGAATTTTGGAGAGACTAGGTGAATTACATAGCTCTCTCATTCCCAAGGGAAATCTGGGAATTAATCAGGGAGAACTGGAGTCAAACTGTGAGCAAAACTGAAGCTACTCAATTTTACTTAGTGTGGCTGATCTCAATTCTAAAAGCCAATGAGTGAACCTCAGGGGTGAAATATGGCTAACCCTTGAAAATTCTTTTGAATTCCTTTGAAAAGTCAATTGACCACACATTGCTTGTGGAAAGATTACTGGATTTTATGTGACCTTGGATCTAAATAGTTTAGAAGGTCTGGATGTAAAACCATACAAGTTGAGATTTCAAAGACCTTAATTTTTGTTTGACTAGCATGGTGTAAAATGAGACTGATACATTTTAGTCAAAACTTTCAAACTGACCATTTGCTGAAAGATAAAATGTATTGGTAAAATTAAATTTTAATGAAAGCTGCACCGCGCCATGTTCCTGTCAGTTACGGAATTTATGGACATAGCTTTTAAATCGGAGTAATAATTAATGAAGCAAATCACAATACACATAATACCTTTAATGAAAGCATTTAATAGTAGACATGTTTTCATATTTGCTTGTTTAATTATTTTTTTCATTATCTTTTGTATGGATTTAAGGTATTTTTGGACATGTAAAGGCAAGTAATGGCAGCATTGATATTGCATTCAAAAAGTATTGAACAAATACTTTTTTTAGTAGTAACTTTTTAAACAGCAGCTAGAATACAGAGATTGGATGGTGTCATTAAGGATGACCCTAAAAATGGTTTATAACCAGTTCCTATATCTGCATAAATTTGCTCTCTCTGGCAACACACATTCAGGTTGAGGTTCCACAGAATGTAATGGGAGTTTTGCTGAACTATCCAGCTCCATTATAGCAGATGGTACTGTATGGAGGTAACACTGATCCTGTGACTCTGTTGATTTGTAATTAGATTTCTAGTAATTAATATAGTTTGCAGGCCTTGTATGAACTCTGCAGATTGCCCATTCATGTAAATGATTAACTGAAAGGGGATTAATACTGGCAGAAGTTCAACCAAAAAGAATTTTCCAGACTGAAAATCTTTTCTATCAGTCTAGTATATTGTTGTAGAGACTGAAAGTTAAGTTTACATTTGTGTAGCTCCATTTTAAAAGGAGTAACTTGATATATGAGTGTTAAAAATATCTGCACCGTGTGCATAAATGTACATTTGCTGCAATAAATCCCTAAGTCTTGCTTTTTATGGAATTCAAAATGCATATTCAATCTACTTCTTGTCACTACTATTTAATAGGAAGTAATGTAAATTCTAGTTTTGTAAAAAATAATATGGTTTAGAATTCTACAGTTTGTGTTTAGCTGCTCGTGCTGGAACATACAAAGACTGGAATTCTTACAACTATAATAAATCAGTGACAACAGGGGCTGTCACACAGCTCTGCACACAATCAGTTCATCCAGACTGATTATCACAATTGCAAGATTATCACAGAATCCCAGAATGATTTGGGTTCAAAGGGACTTTAAAGCTCATCCAGTTCCAAACCCCTGCCAGGGGCAGGGGCACCTTTGCCTCTCCCAGGTTGCTCCAAACCCTATCCAACCTGGCCTTGAACCTGGCCTTGTCCTGCCAAGTGTGCAGCCCTTCAGGTCAGGCAGGCACTCCCTGGGGAATGGTCCTTCCAGCCATTGTGTGTGCAGTCTCTTCTGAAGGATTTTGTCTGGCCCTAAAGCCAATCCCTGCAGCTCTGTGGATCACCTGGCTATACAGAAAGTGTAAACATAAAGTCAGCGTAAATTAGTGGGTGACACAGATGTTTGGCACAAAGCAGCACAGCATCAGTGCCAGCTGAGGGATTCCCAGCTGTGTGAACAAGGCTGAATTCCCCTCCCTCTGCTATGAGGAGTCAAAGCCAGAGGATGAATGGAAGGGACAGAGCAGGAAAGAGAGGATGGAGAGAGCTGTGGAGAGCATGGTTTGATGATGTGGCTGGGAAAGATGAGGGCAGCAAACCTGATGTTAGAACAGGCCACTCTTCCCTTACCCTCCCTTGGCACTTGTGTTCTGAACCAGCACAGCTCAAGAGTGTGACACCTGGAACTGCCAAACCATGGGGCAATGAACATTTTTCCAGCCCCACCAATTCCTTGCTCCATGCAACTTCCCCCAACAAATCTGGCCAAGCAAGAGAATCCTGCAGAGGCAAAGCTAGGGAAGGGAACTGCCATGGAAGCAAACAAGGGTCACAGTGTTATTAAATGCTCTAGCACTCAGATTATCAAAAATCTCTAACAGATAAACAGCCCACATCACTACATTCTATATAAATATAAGGCCGAGTGCCTCCTTGACGTAACTATGATTGTGTGATAGCAAGGATGGGCTTAGTCCAGTGTGTTTAGACTCTCTATTATTTTAACCAGATGCTTGGGGGTTTGTTTTCCTTTAGTGGATAATAAGGGCCATCCAAAACAGAGTTGCTGATTTGCTTGGGTTTCATTGAAAGAGACACTACTAAAGGGAGAGGAAATCCCCAAAATGATACTCAGTGATTAAGCACATAGAATATTGGATTTCAGTGTTTGCAAATCCTTTTTTTCAAATGAACTTGTGGCACTAATCCTCTAATGGCATTATTTCTTTGGAATATATGCCGGATTAAGGAGTCACAATGAGGCAAAGTACAAAAATCCACATTAATCTCTCCCTGATAGATGCTGTGTGGGATGCAACTTAAACTATTTTGTTCCAAAATTGGTTCTGTTCCTAACCTTGCCCCAGGTCTAGACAGAGGGAAGAGCAGATATAAACAAGTGTGACACTGAGCACTTGGCAGATGGTCACAGGCCATTTAACTGGATAGAAAGGGGAAGGCATCTATTATTTTTAAACTCCAAAAGCTAAGCCTGCCCTGTGCTGTCCATGACATGCTGCAGGAAGCAGACACAGGGCTCTGACAGGCAGGGGCAGGACACCTGTTCACAAGTGTGCCAGGGAGGAGATGGACAGAGCAGCAAACAGGGCATGGCTGGGCCTGGCTGTCGTGATATATTACATTTTCACAGCTCAGCCTGGGCCTATTGCAAAGAGCTGCTCATGTTTACAGCCTAGTGCAGCCACCTCGCTCTCCTTAGCCTGCTTTTTTGGGGGTATAATCCTGTTAGCACCTCTTCTCTCATAGCTGATGTAAAAAAAGGTAAGGATTTGCTTTTTAGGAAGAGGAGACCAGGTCACTGTGGTTCCCTTCTCACCAGATTACAGGGATGCTGTCAGAGTGCCCTGGAATATTGTCACTGTCTTTCAACAGTGGTGAAAGAACTCAGCTCAAGTGGTGAAAGAACTTCTGAGTTGGCAGCACATCGCCTGAAATACTGATTTCAAAGCATGTAAGTTAGTCCAGCCTAACCACTGTAACTGGTTCTTAACATTGTTAAGCACAAGCAAAAGACTGTTAAATTCAGTTCTTCACCAACAGAAATGCTGGGATTTTCCACTGTGCATAACTGAGATGCCTAGACACATGAATTAGCACAAATTCCTGATGTGGATACAGCTCTGTAGTGAGATGCTGATTTCAGAAACAGAGAGAGGACAGCTACTCCTGGTGTCAGAAAACCTTAAAGCCAACTTGGACATCCTTTCTGTTTGGGAATAGATGTGTGCCCTCCTTTTCTACAGGGAAAGATGGTTGATCACAATGGTTTTGTGCATTTCTAGCTGCTGTAAATGTTTCCCAGCATGGTACCTCTCATGGGCAAGAGGATTTTCCTGATATTCACTTTTCTCATCTTACCCTGTTGACTCCTTGGGGCACCCTGTGCCTTATTCCACCCTGTCTGAATCCTTTGTCTAGTTTCACCCTGAGTCAAGCTCTTCCTCAGGCTGGTGTCTGCTGGTTCAGCTGCTTGCAAATGAATTGTTTGTTTTATTTACCAGCTTTATCATTCCCCACCAAAATCACTCTAGTTTGCATATGTCTTTAGTGTATACAGATAGTGGATGGTCGTTTGTATTAAGGAAATATAAATTATATTGCACCAGGTATAGACAAAGGTGAGCAGGAAATGATAAGGGAAATGGGAACTTTGCCACATGAGAGGAGAACAGTTTGGCTGGTTTAGCCTGCAAAAGGCAAGACCTCATAGACTGAAAAAGATTGTCAAGGCTAAAGAGATTCAGAATAAATGGCCATGAGTATGGTTCAAACAGAAATTTTAATGTTCACCATTGAGGAAATCAGACTTTAGGACAGACAGGCAAAAAAAAAGGTGTACTGGAATTTGAAGTATACATAAGGTGTGTCCAATGATTGTGTTGTAATGTTGTATCATGGTGTTGCCCAGAAGATGATTGTGACTTCTCTTGTGTCTCCCAAAATGATCAGGAGTGCCCGTCCTCCCTTTTTCTTACTGAGCTGTGCCTCCAGCACTATTGCTGACCAGTATGGACAAAAGGGGTGGGAAAACAAAGAGCTTTTCTTCAGGTACTCCTGTAATCTGATCTGTACAGTGACTCAGCCTCTCCTAACAGCAGCTGTCCCAGGAGCATGCAGTGGTGTGCGAGCAGTAGGGAAGATTTTGCTGCCACTTCCTGATTTCTGCCTTGAGAGCGATCTGAGCTGGGACATGATCGGAGCATTTAAATGGACTTCTCAACCCCAGGAACGGCAGACTTTGGGATAGAGTACAAAGGAATAGAGACATCAGGAAAGAACCCACAAACCACTTGTGCAGAGCTGCTGCTGTCAAACTGATGAAGACAAACTGGTGAGGGAAAACTGCACGGAAAGTTCCTATTAAGGAAAGGAGTGAGGTTTTGTTTGCATGTCATGGCTCAACTATCCCACAAACCCTGAAAGTGCTGTAAAAACTGAAAAGTGTTCAAGGGAACCTCAGGTGTACCCATGGAAAAGACAGGTATGTTCTTTGTTTAAAATAATGTCTCTCTACAGCAGGAAATCACAGCCAGGGAAAGCAGGATTGCTCTACAGCTCAGTAACTGTGCATGTACATCAAGGTACATTGGTTTGTATAATTTTTGTATTTCTAAGGAATACAACTGTGACAACACATTAATGCCAGCTTTTAAACATTGCCTCAGCTTTTTGTGATAGTAAGTGCTCTTCTGTTAAACACTTGTATCATGACTATGATATATGGTTGATGGAGGCAACAGAGGTCAAATCTCAGGGCATCTACCATTATGAAAAAAGGTAAGCAAGAGTAAACATTAATAAATTCTAATTCACACTAATTCTGTCTGGTGATCCCCTGAAAGATGACCAGAACTGCCAGCATAGACATGAAGAGGACAATCCAAAGAGTTCCCCATTTGACTTTGTAATGAAACAGTTCCAAGGAAAGAAGTGTGCTCCTGAAAAAAGGAAAGAGCAGCCTTCAGCCATCAAACAGTTCTTCAAAGGCTTTGACTTTGGGAAATCTGAAGGCAAGGACAGAAGGGAAATTGAAGAAACAGAAATAAATAATGATGGAGCTGATGATCAGAGTGAAAAGCAAGATCTCTCTGTAGAAGGTAATGCTGGTACAATAGTGAAACACATGTATATATTTTAATTTCATAGAAAATCGTCTGTTTTCTTGCTAGCCAAAATCCTGTACTTGCTGCCTACAGTTTATCCTCTAGCCAGGATTTACTTCTGATTGGAACATTATCAAGGATATACCTTCTGATCTGATAGATGCTAAGCAAGGAGTTAGGCTGAGGAAGGGTAAAGCTTTTGGGTGACTTCTCTCTTGATCTGCAATGTGAGAGCCAGTACTGAAGTCAGCTCACTAGTTCCAGAGCTAATTTGGTTTCAGAGCCAAGCTTTGAGCAGTAGCTTGGCCTGTTGTATTTAAGATGGGTCTCTGTCCTGCTGTCTTGTTAAAGCATTCTGAAGACAACAGGAGCAGATGTTTCCTATCACTTGGTACTGGGCAGAGGAAGGGAATGGGAATCCCTCATGGATGTTATTTTGCACACACAAGGATACTCTTGTAATGGAGTATCTATTACTATTTTTCAAAAGGAGATGAAAGGTGAAGCTTAGAACCCTGTCCTTTGTCCTAATGGGTCTGGGTCAGTTTGGGGAAATGATAGGAGGGCAGCTACTCACAGCAGAGAGTGGATTGCTATTTTCTGTATTTTTTTGCTTTGCGAAGCTCAGAAAAGCAGGAACTACCTTACACAGATGTTGTATAAAAATGTAGCAAAACCTTTGTACTGATTTGATCTATAGTGATCTTATCAGTCAGGTTGTTGGTCCACATTGATGAAAAATAGAGCCTGCTTTATTGTCAGATATAATTAATTTCCTAAAGTCTTCACCTGGCAGCCTCAGGCAGGTTTTACACCTTATGTTTATTAGGAGATGTAACCAGGGCTCTATTTCTTTGTTGCTCAGATGGACTATCACATCTCACTTCTGAAGCAGAGTCACCATCTGGTGAGCAGAGATTTAACCAGTTCATGGAGAAACTGGGAAAGAAACCCAGCAGCAAGAATCTGGATCTAAATAATTGTGCACTAAATGCAGCAGATATAACAGAGCTAGGTAAATGCACATTTTATTCAAAGAATCACTTCATGTATTTCTTTAATTTTTATTTGCCTGTCCTATAATTCCCTCTACTCTTTTCCCTTCCCTGTCTTTTATACAGGCCATATTAACATTTCATCTAATGGTCCCAAATCTCTGAGATATATTAATTCATAAATTATATCAATTATGTAATAGATATAAATATAGAAATCATCTAGGTCTGTAAAGCAGATTAATGTCCTTGCACTTATGATACAGACAAGAAAAGTGAGGTACAAATTGTCATGGCTTTATAATTCTGTATTGATTGTAGAAAATATCTCAATATTAAGATATATTGATATCCAGGGTGTGCAAACAGAAAAGCTTTTCTCTCCTTACAGCTTCTTTACTGCCATTTCTCCCAGAGCTGGAAGAGATCAGCCTGTCCTGGAATGGTTGTGCTGGAGGAACTTTGAAAGCTCTCACTGCCCAACTTCATCATGTGAACCTGTTAAAAGTCCTCCGACTTAACAACTGCAGGCTGACAGCTGAGGATGTCATCTCCTTGGGTACAGGATTTCATTTACATTTACTTCCAGATATCCTGGGGCTAATGTAACCCATCTCATCTCTTCCTACATCCCACTCCTTCTGCTTCCACAGTGGGCAAAGTGAACTGCTGTGAAACAGTCAAAACTTGGATTTATCGGTGACCTTACACCTTTAGGTAGCTCTGCAGAGTTCATTCCTCAGGGTGTGAAGCTTTCATACTCAGAAGGGAACAGAATCCAGTCCTATTTGCAGAAAAGAATATTTTTAATTTGGATTGGGTTTTTTGCCTAGAAGCAGAGTCAATCACAATAGGTCAACTTAGGTTTTGGAGCTGCACGAGAGGTGTGTGCTCATCATGAAAACCCCAACGATCTTTTGGGAGAAATCTTAAAACCAGAAGTGCTGCCTCAGAGCTTTATTAATTGTTTTTATGTAATGTTTTTTCAAGTCTGGGAGAAGCTTATTCCTCTGGTTGCTTCTTTGCTTGGGGTGCCTGCACCCTGCCTTCTGCAAAGCATGAGATGGAAAGGTTTTTGAGGTGGTGTTGCACACTCAGGTTCTGGCATGGAGTCACCTCTGGGCCTGGAGTTTACTCTGAAGTGGATCTGTGGTATCTATTTAAAAGAAGGGAATACACAGTCAACTAGAAATTATAAAAGTTATTGCTTATTTTGTAAGTTCTAAACTGGATCTGAGTTATAAAGCTGGGCTTTGTTTGTGTCATTCATATCCAAGCCTTTTCCAGGAAAGGTTCAGAAATAAAATTACATACATGGTGGTAGATCAAAAGTGAGTCATGCAATCTCCTGGGGAGGAAATAAGCATCTATACAAAAACTGGTGAAAATATCTGCTGTGTTTCTGATGAGTATGAAATCTGTATTTAATTTTCTACTATTTTTTCAAATTTATTTCATTATATTCCAAACCTTTCTCATAGATTTTTTTTGTTGAGGTTATTTTTCCAATTGATTCACTCTGCCAGGTTCTTCAGGGCTGTTTCCTTCCCAGTTCGGTTTAGCTTCTGCTGGGACAGACACAAAATTGATCACAGAAATTGAATTTCCAGACAAAATGTGATGCCCTTGACACATAGAATAGCAACAGTCAGTTTGCATTGATTTTGCCTGTGATTTTGAAAACAGCTTGTGTTTTTAGGCCAATCCTGGCTGTGTGACCTTGTCCACATCTCTCTGCAGAAATGTGGCCTCTTGTGGACTCAGCACATCCTGCTTAGAAATCAATGTCTGAAATATAACCATAATATCAACCTATTCTATGTGGTTCCTCAGAGCTTGACTGTGAAAGGTGATAGGAAACAATTCCTGGAGTTATAAATGTGTCTGGAGCTCTATAGTCCTGTCAAACAGAAAAAGGCTATGCTACTCTTCTTAACTGTAGAGCATTGATCAGTATTCAACACTGAGGCAATAATTTAAAATAAATGCAAAAATAAAAATTAAGATGTGACCTTTTCTCTCAAACCCAGATATTCATTTACGGAAGTAATTATTTTTCTATTATAAATCTTTTGTGAGAAATTAATTATGAAAACCACATAGACATGAAAGGATATTATTGTTAAAATACAACTCTCAATTATTAGACTTTAGATCAAAAAATTGTGTATGACACTTTGAAATTGCATTTGCATATGGTCTGATTATTTGATCTTTCTTGGGAATGAGTTTATGCAAATATGCTCTGCCTCCCCCCTCTACAAAGCTAGGAAGCTGGATTTTACAGTAGGATGTTAGTATTTCAAATAAGCACTAACAGAGTTCACACTGACAGGTGTGTCAAGCCTTGAAAAGGCTGATTTTTCTGAATGTAGTAAAAGTTAGTTCTGTTTGCCTTGATATCATGGGAACGTTAGTTTGAGTAAAAACAATGCTCATCTTGGTTTCCTATGAAGTGAGTCAGAAATTCCTGCCAGAAATGAAAATTTCATGTTTCAGAAATAGTTGTGAGAGGAATTCTTTCGTTCCCTCCAAAATAACCTTTGTACACAATACAGAGGATGTTGGAAATTTGCCAAATAAAACAGAGCAGAACTCTCCAGGACAGTAAATTCAGACTTGTCACTTGTATTGATTTCCCTGTAGACTGGACTTTCTGGACCCAGCACAGGCCAAACAGCCTGATGAGGGTTTGGGAACCTGAATAAATTTCAGGTTTGTGTGCACTGTGACAATGACTTGTGATCTATGTTACTCGTTAGACAATGTGAGATTTTATACAACATTGTTGCACAAGCAATAATTCATTTATTTAACAATTTTCCTGGCAAGACATTAATCATAAAGTAATTTGAGTATTAGGTAGCTAACCTTCCTCTTTAATATATTCCAAACATGCATGCACTAAAATTAATAAACAGAATGAATAATTCTAAACTTCTGTTGCAGGAGAGGCATTTGAAATTGTTTCTCAGCTTGAAGAACTGGACTTATCATGGAACAGTAACATAGGTGGAAAACTGTCACTGCTGACAAAAAAACTTCAGGAAGCATGCAAATTAAAATGTCTGAAAATTACAGACTGTAACCTGACAGCAAAGGATGGAGAATCCCTTGGTATGTGTGACCATGGAGCTGGACTGAGGCTGGCATCACAAAAATGGAATTTATTTGACTTAGATAATGGCTGTATTTAACTCATTATCAGTGAAAAGTTAATTTATTTCAAGTTCTGCATTATAACAGTATTTATGAAGTGGGGATTTAATGCACTTCCTTCCAAAGAAGAAAGTCGTTCTCTCTAATCATATGAGGGAAGGTTGAGAAGACCTAAACCACAGTCTGGCTGCCTCAGTGGTCCAGGGTTTCTGGATCCTTTGACACCTTCAGCAAAAAATGTGTGCCAGAATTTCCAACACTAATTACTTAAAATTAAGCAGCTGAATATGTAATTAGCCATGGGATTGGAAAGAAGGTCTGAGGATTGGGAATTTAGGCAGAGTTAGCAACCAGTGACCACTCTTCCCTTCTGTCCTCTCACTTTAGCAGCTTAATCCTGTGTGGTCTTTTTATCTCATTGTGTGTTTTAAAAGGTGTTTGCTCAGTAAAAAGAAGCCCCATGGCTCTCATCTCCATTACAGGAGGAGCTCCATATGTAACAGACATTCCTATATATATTCATTAGAAAATTTTATTTCTGTTTGTATTTCTGCTTTTTTTTTTTTTCCTGTGCATTTTACTAACAGTCCCTGTATTTTTTCACTTTTATTTTTATAAATGTTTTTCACAGATTTTCATTATTCCTAGTCTTTATTTTACTGGGTTGTTTAGGTAGAACAGAAACTTAGCAAATCTAAACCACACTGGCAGGCAAACCCTAGCCACGTCTTCCTGTTTATCATAGTGCTGGATTTTTGTAGGGTTCATCTGCATGTATTCTAGACAATTACCAATTCTGGTTTTCTTTTGTTTTCTTTTTTTTTTTTTTTCCACAGCTGAACTGTTAAATGTGATCCCAAACCTTGAAGTATTAGACATCTCTATCAACAAAAACATTGGCTGCAGCATGAAGGTTATTGCTCAGGATCTGAAAAATGTGCCAGGCTTGAAAGAGTTAAACTTGCACATGTGTGGATTAAAGCAAGACAGCCTCCAGGGCTTAGGTTAGACTTTATGTTCTGAAAACTTTCATTTTGAATAACTTGTACATCTGAAAACCATTTAAGAAAGGCAATGAGGTGGGATTTTGCTGATGGTTTGGCAGTACTAATGGGCAATCATGATTTGCTGTTTGAGCACTGGTAAAAGACTACAGGGCCTTTCAGCAGGAGCTCAATTTATCTCCCCTGAGCTGAAGCTTGTGAAAGTCAGTAGGGAGAGTCACCCTCCACACCATTAATCTGAGACACATCTCAGGGCTGTGGCTGTGGATGTGGATGTGCTTCCTCTTTCATCAGAGAGAACATAGACAAGGACACAGACAGGCCAGCTAACTTTTAACAAGCTAATCCTGCTTTCCAAAGGAAATCCAAATTCGCCATTACCACTTAAAGTGTCCACTGAAGCCACATGAAATGGTCTTGTTATCTGTGTCTCTCCCTAGTGGATGTGGCAAAACAACTGGCATTAATGAACACACACAGCAGTAATTTCTGCAAAAGGCTGAGGATTGTCTGGATGTGGGGGATGAGCTGGCCTCACCTTCACCTGCTCTCCCAGAGAAGAATGGAGCTGCATGGACAGGGAGGCTTTGCTGCATTACTGAATGTCTGCTGTGATTATACCCTAAAGCTTAGCCCAGGAGCTTTGCCTGCAATACCTTGTGCAAACTTTGACGTTGAAGCAAATAAAAGCCAAAGCCCTGACCAGTTTGACAGCAGCAGCCAGTGACCAGAGTGTTCCCTTTTGCATTTCAGACACTGCTTTGCAGCACCTCACAGAGCTAAGGAAATTAGACATCTCGTGTAACAGAGAACTTGGTGGCGGCTTTAAAGCATCAACAGCTCATTTGGCCAGCTTGAAAAATCTGGAAGTCCTTGATCTTCACCAGTGCTGTGTCACAGAAGAGGACATGACTGTTTTGTGTAAGGACATGTTGAGGAAATTCATTAATGGTCTTGGTTTTGTCTTCTGAAAATATCTCAAAGACATAAAAATTCTGCCTGGCAGAAGAGCTGAGCTCAGTACTTTTTTCATTAGGCAGCTCTGAAAATGCAGTGTGGGGGAGAGCTTTCTTGATCAATGTGGAATGGATTTTTTTGCTGAACAAAAGGAAATCTCAGAGTGTCTGATCCCATGTGGAACTAAGGACCTGAATCTGCCATGATTCAGACCACAATGGGAATGTGGGAACTTCCACCAAACACTACTTTTTTTTGATAATCAAACATTTAGGAAATACCCAGGGGCAGCTCCCACAGTGGTTTAAGTTGGATGGATCCATGGTAATATAACTGCCTAAAACTCCCTTGGTGAGTAGCACACTGAGAAGAGGCTGATTTTAGGAGCTCTTGCATTGCTGCTGCTGTGTGCTTTCTCCACAGGTTCAATTGATGTAACTATAAACACTACTATGAAGAAAAAGGCATTTTCCAATCAATTTGTGAGACAGTTTATTTTTTTTTCTCTGTTATCATAACTTTGTTTTTACTTTTAACATCAACAAATCCCATGAGTCAAAGCCTATATTGCCCACATCCTATTTTCCATGACAAAGAAGGTAACTTGAACATATGATGATGAAGCTTTAGGATATATTAAATATTAGTAGTAACAATCATGATTTATTTTTAATTTATTTTATAATAGAGAATAATAACATTAAGACAAAGAAGTTTCAGTTAGCAATGAAGACATTTGGAAATTCCCTACTTCACCCAGAACATTTGCAGGAAGCCATGTTGTGAAAACCTTCTGCATAGTATGGAATACTTAACTTCTGAAACAGTTCTACTGACAATGACAAGGATATTTATGGTCTAAAACATTACTCACCATGAATTTGAGTGTAAAAACTCAGCTGGTCTTGACTTTTGGATTGATTTATAAAGAAAAGAAATTATGTCAGGCAAATATACAACTACACATTTGTTATGGATCAGTGACTGTCTAATAAATATTTTGTGGTTTTGCAGCCCAGGTGATACCTTTACTCTCCAATCTTCAAGAGCTGAATTTATCCTCGAATAAAAATGCAGGATTCTCATCAGATCCTCTTCTGGGCAGGCTCAGATTTTTACCAAAGCTGAGATCTGTGACCATCAGCAATTGTGGCTTAGGTGAAGAGTCCCTTTCATCACTAGGTAGGAATGTTTCTTTAAAGTGTGCCCATTCTCTGTGAATCCCTGTAGGACAAAGCATTCCCTTCTCCTTTGGCTGAACTCAGAGGATCATGGTTGCATTATACCTCAGGTCCTGAGTGAAAAATCCTGTGATGAAACCAGTGCTTCGTGGGACCAGGTTGCAAGGGAAGAGAATTGTATGACTTCCTCTACTACACCTGAGTTCTCTTAGTCCTTTGTCTGATAGTGAGCTTTTATATACTCCTTAAATTTGGGGAAAAAGAAAAACATTATTTTATATTATGCTAGTCTGGAAGTAAAATTTTGTTGAGAGTATTTTACCTCACTGCAAGTGAAAATTTCAGTAGAAACTTTCTGGGGTAGAATTCAGCATGGGACAGTGGAGGAAATGACTACAGTGGTGGAAAAGATATTGCACAGCTGTGAAGAAAAGTTCAATCTAACACAGGATATGTAAATTCAGCCTCTTTTGCCTACTTATTGCAAATCTCTGTGGATTAGTGGCCTTTGATAGTTGTTCCATATGGCACATGAAATCTTAGTACAGAGGGATCTCTCAGTTCTGTGTCTCGTGCACTTGTATTTCATACTGTTACTCGTGACATTAAACCTGGAGTAAGATTTGACTGCCTCCAGCAGAAGCAGTAGCAAGCTAAGCTGGTCAGAGGTCCTTGCAGAAAGAGCATTATGTTTATATCACTACAGTTATGTAAGAGTGACAATGTGGAAATCAGAGCTGTCAAAAGATACAGAGCATCTCACCTTAAATAGTGAGTTCACAGCAAAAAAAAAAAAAAAAAAAAAAAAACAATCACTGTATTTAAATTGTCTGACTTTTATTGGGATAAAAGAATTCATTCTAAGCAAAAGCAGTCAGGCTGTTAGGATCTTACTTATGGGTGAATTGCAGGTGAGGTGTCTGTTGAGGCCATGTTGTTTTCTCTTAGTAAGCAGAAGTTGCTGGTCTTAATCTTTTCAGCTGAGGCTGCCCTTCACCTTCCTGAACTGGAGATATTAGACCTTTCTTGGAATAAGTGCGTTGGTGGGAACCTAAAGCTGCTTTTGGGAGCACTAAAGCTTGCAACGGAGATTCAAGTGTTAAGACTGAGCAGCTGTAACCTGGTGGCTGAAGATTTGGCACTTCTAAGTAAGTATAACATGGTATTTACTAGCACTAAAGGAACTAGGGCATTTAGACCACAATTCAGAAGGGGCTTGTTCCATGGGCTGAGCACGTTTTTGCATAAATCAAATGAAAACATGGAAAATACGGAGTATTTTTCCCACAAAGGGATTTCATTTTTCTGTGTGTCCTGGACATGTCCAGTGGAAAAGCTGAAAAGGCTAAATTGCAAAGAATCTTTAAGCACTTTTATCTACTAATACAAAAAAAAAAATCACACGAAGCATAATTTAGAAAATGTTTTTTATATCAAATATTTAAAGCTGCATCTGAGGAGTTTTATTTTGCTCAGATGCTGTTTTATGGCTCAGTACTTTAGAGAAAATATCTGTGCTGACAGGAATACTACCAGCTCCCAGCCATTAGGTGGGTTTCTAGAGCTGGACTACTGGGGGACAATTAAACCAGAAAAGTTTTCACCTACCTCTTAGCAGCTGCTAAGAAATACTTGAAAATGGGAACCTGATAAAGAAATAAATTCTAGGATCCTTTTAAAAACTTGCTAATTTTATACTCCTCCTTCTGAGTCTGTGGGCCTGACTCAGGGGTTTGAATGTCTGACATTGGCAATTGCTGTGTGACAACTGTAAACCCCTGGAATGTGAAATCTGGTGAGGTGAAGCCCAAATATTTTTGACTTTAAAACCATCACCCCTGATGGGTGTCTCCTTTGCCAAGCATATGTTAAGGACCCCTTTAGGGTATATTTGTCCCTCCCACGGTGAGAGGTGGCTGTTGTAGTCAGTCATGCAGCCTCACCTAGTTTTGCTTTCCTCTTTCTAAATCTCCTTGTAAAGTCTGTCTGCATCTTACAATTGGCACTCAATGTAACATCCTTCCAGCTGACTCCAAGGTTTTCAGGTGGCCACACACTTTTAACTCAATACTTTTTTCCTTTTGAACTGCCTCTGCTTTAAGTGTTGTAAACTCCTTCAGCTGTTATAAAACTGAGATCAGCAGCAAGTGGTTTTATGTTGCTGAGGAGTTAAATCTTGCTGTTTGACTGCTGAAATGAGGTATTAAAATAGCATTCTCTTTTCTGAGAAGCTTTTAAAGCAGTTACCAGGATTTATTAATTGTGTTTGTGTCTGTCATCTCTTGCAGCATCCCTGAGGCAAGATGGCCATTTAGCCAGATTACAGAAGCTGGATTTGAGTTATAACAACAACATCTCTGATGAAGGCTGGGCTGTTTTCTGCCAAGGTTTAGGAGCATTCAAGGAACTCTCAGAGCTGGATGTGAGCCTCCGGCCGTCGTCCTGCAGGGACTGTGGGCCATGGTTTGGGGAGCTGTTGGCAGCACTGACACAGCTGCCAGCCTTGGCAGAGCTGGCCATGCAAAGATGGGCCCTTTCAGAGTCCCAGAGGAAACAAATGGAAGGCTTTAATCAAGACAACAAAAGAAACATTCGTTTGGACTGTTGATGAAGGTTGGAGGTGTCTGAAAGGCCTTTTGGGAGCAGCACGTGAAGCAAGCATTACATGTGGCTGACTTGGAACTGACTGCAGTTTGTAATAATCTCTTGAAATAGTTTTGCAGTTATTGAAAACTGTTATTTGACCTTCTGCAACATCAATCATTCAATTTCATAATGTTCTTTCAGATCTCTGGGCCACACTTACTCTACTCAATCTTCATGTTGTGAATATTGGCAAGGCCACTGCCCACAGAGCAGTGCTGGGGTCAGTGGGAGGGGCTGGGGTTTGTGTTGATGCAGGTGGGTGGGCAGTGTGAATGTGGCCTCAGAAAATACCTCTAATGTGAAAATACTTGAAACATCCATGTTTTAAATTTTAGTTTCTTCTCCCCTCAAACTTTTGCCTCTTTGTGAATTAATTGAATCATAAGTTGGAGATTTGGCATCCATCCTAACAATTCAACATTATAGATTAATCCAGGAAGGAGAATACAGAAGGAGCTCTGCTCTGGCCCTTGATACCATCTCATAGTGTAGATGAGTCCTGTGTAGAGAATCAGCATAAAATCAAGGTAAGAAACACTTAATTGGTGTCTTTGCATGTCTCGGGGCAAGGAAAAAGCTATGGTACATTAAATCAGAGATATGTCCTGCTACTTCAACAAGAATTTTGGTTACAGAGAAATCAGTAAGTGCCAAATTCTGGCACAGTCACTTGTGTCATGGAGCATGTTAACCCACACGTGAGCTCCAGCACTGCAGTGGGATTATTCATTGGTAAGGTATTTTAGGAAGTAAAGATATTAGATCTGCCCACTGAGTGAGGAGTCTTAGAGAAATCCTGAGGCAGCTTGAGGGATAAAGTACTGCTCAATTAGCTCTGAGCATCTCTACATGCTGCAGCAGTGTCCTGGAGGAGTGACACAACAGGATCATTCAGTGGCATCTTTCTAACTTGCTAAGGCCCCCCTCAGCAAGTTCTCCCTTGCAGATGCTGAACAATATTCAGCTTTCAGTCCAACATCTGCTTTTTCCTGTTCAGGGCTATAACCAGAAGCTGACTGTGCTGATACCTATTGATCATTTAATCCATGATTTCATGTAAGAGTCACCCTGGACTTCCTGGTTCCACTTTCAGTTCCACTTGAAAAATGCACTTTGCTCCCCTGATTTGAGAAATGTGAGTTGAACTCACATTTCTCAGTCGGGGGCAGCAAGGAATTGAGGTGTGGGATCCTAAGCCTCTGAGATAAAGCAAAGACCCTCTGCTTCATTTAGGGCTAACAAGAGAGATGTTCAAGCAGTGTCATAAGCCAGGACAGTTGTTCTAAAGAGGAAAAACCATCATGTCTGTTTAACAGCATCACACCAACCTGTTCTCTTTATCACTTGTCTTCACACGACTTTCCTCCTCAAATCCACCTTTGATCCAACTGGGAAATTGATATTTTATCTGTTTTGTGAGAATTTCTCTGAATGAATCCTTTCCCACTTGAATCTCTCTCTCCAGTTTACCTTTATTGTCCACTTTCTGTTGAAATCTTCCTAACTGGACTCAAATTCAGTGTTGGAGTTTCTTGTTCTTTCATAGCTGGATTCCTCATTCTCAGCTCCAGAGCCCAGGATAGACCCACTGCTGGCAAACTTTCCTCTGCTCCTGATCCCCCTGCTCAATCCTTCGCCTTCTTATTATTCTGTCATGCCAATTGTGCCACTAAAAAGCTTTTGTTCCTTTTATCACCTCTGCTAAATGTCTTGTCAATCTGCCAGTCTGCCCAGAAATCTCTCTTCCAGTGATTTCCTCCTTGGCAGTTTCTGATTCATCCTTCTCACTGTTCCTCTTTGCTTTTACTTAGGGTGAAAAATTTTCATTAGACATTTCCAAACAGTCAAAACAGCCTCAGTTACCCAGTGAAATGGAAAATCAGAACAGAGCCGTCCCACTTTGCTGCAGTCCCAGCTCTCTCCTGCCAATGAGCATGTTAATGAGATTTCAGTATCAATCAAGAGCTAAACAGAAATGAGTTCCATGCCCTGGATGCAGATTCAGAGGGCACTACCTGGAGATGAAACTCTGGTTCCTCATCACCAGCTTCCCTGAGGCAAGGGGAGGGAGAGCAGGACTGCAGTTCTGATCAGCAGTTGAACTAAACAAAGGGTTTTGAACCTGCACAGTGGCTGGCCTCAGTCCAGCTTGGTGCTCTATGTACACTGCAAATGAAACTCAGGGGCTTAAAGGGTAGCTGAGCAATACAGAATAAAAATTAGACAAGGACATTGTGTCTAGGACAAACAGGTGTCTGCCTGACAAATGCTGTGAAAAGACATAGTTGCACATAAATTTGACACGCAAGAATTATAGCAATATTATGTTTGTCATAGTTCTTTTTAATAACAAAGGTGTCATGATGTGTCAGAACCAGAATCATGGCAGAAATTGCATCCTGCAGACCCACTGCTTTCAAATAAGCCTGCCATACACAGCCACATGCCAAACTGTCCCCAGGCCATGTCAGAGATGAACAGTACCACTAAGGAAGTGACAGCTTGCAGTTGTTCAAAGTGCTGTAACTGCAGATTGTCAAAACATCAGTGAACAGTTTTGCAAAAGTGTGGAGATACTTTCAAACAGCTTTTTAAACCTCTGTAATACAGGATGATAATGCAGGTAGAAGTGTGTGGCCTGTCTGGAATCCTACTCCACATTTCCAAACAAGGTACTGATAATTTCTGGAGGTAAAGTGCATAAGTGGGGTTTATGAACTGTGATGTTGTTGGGATCATTACTAAACACAGAGAGACAACATGATTTTTAACATTGTTGATATTATTCCTGTTCTGACATTTCTGGCCTGATGCTGCATCATATACCTAAAGAGATTAAGAGTCCCTCCAGTTCTGCATTTGGGAGCAGCTGAAATCCATGGAATTTCCCTGTAGCAGCAGAACAAGCTCTTGCCCCTTCTATTGCTCCTGCCTGCAATTTGCTTATGTCTTCTGGCAGACATTTAATTCCTTTATCTTGTCCCAGCTACAATCTTCCTAATGACTCCAGAAGAAAGATCTCATTTGGAAAGATACTGAATTTATTTTCAGAAAGGCTAAGGCATTTAAAATTTTCAGTTCCTTCACCTCCACAGGTATCTTGACACAGTCATTAAAAAAGATATATTATGTCAATTAAATAGTAATCTTTGGAATTTTGTTTTTAGGTTAGAAATCTCCTAAGAAAATTCCGTGGAGCTGCATTACTGTTGATAGATGAACACAGAAATTCTGCTCATTAATGTCACATTATACCTCACAGTATGGTGGAAATTTTGGCAAAGATATCTATGTTGTTTCCTGTGCTGGAAAGATTTCTTATGGGTTTAATTTTATTTCTCAGCAGAAACATTAGTCTGCTTCTTCATTTCCTTTGTATGCACAGTGCAGCAGAGAGCAATTTAAATTAATGAAATCTGAAAGTGAGTCTTTTGCATAAATTACTAGTTCTGTAAATGTAGCCTTCAAGAAGAAAACTGCAGTGAAAAAAAATCCTTGGGAAAAAAAGGCATTGCTTTAAGCAAGAAGGAAAGTGTATTTTAAGGCCCAAAATAAAGATGTCTATGAATACTGTTACCCTTATCATAGCCCAAGGGTGCATAATCATTCATTATCAAATGAACAGCAAATGTTCACAGATTTAAAGACATTAACAATATCACATCCATTTTTTAATTGCCCTTTGCTCACTTTGTGCTATATTGATTCTGTGCAAATGCAGCTCTTATTTTCCAGTGTACACAGGAAAAAAAATATATGAAAAACTGCAGCAGTCCCTCCAGTCAGGATTCCATCTCTATGATTCCACACAAAGGCCAGTGTTTCCATGTTCTTGCTTTTTTTCCCTGAATACTGAGATGCCAGCAATAATGAGGAACCCAGGCTCAGGTGTGTACCAGTGCAACGCCCCTTCTCACTGTGGTAGGGAAAAGTGAATTTGGTTGTAATGGAGAACTTGGATTGTGCAAAAGGGAGGTGTCAATAAAATAAAAAGTAAAACAAAGGAACAAATACATTTTCCATAGTGCATGTTCCTTTAGGAATAGCATCAAAGTGCTTTTCACTCAGATCTAGCATCCTGCCGCTGGTGGAGGATGCAGGTGCAGCGTGTAACGCGGTGTTCCTCCCATGCACACGGGACAGGAAGGGCCAGCAGCAGAGCTGGTGTGGCATCTCCTCCAGGCTGTCCAGCCAGTCTGAGCCCTCTCGTGTCACGGAGATTCTTCAAACCTGGGGGAAGTTTGTGCAGCAGATTACGAGCCAGACCCAGCACAGACAGCTGCTGGCAGGGCTGCAGTGCAGGAAAGCGGAGCCCAACCCCTCCTGCCTTAGCAGGGCAGCGGTGAAACCACCAGAGGCATTTATTTGCTGGAAAGGGCCGGCACAGGAATCTTTGAAGGAGCAGCTGATCGTGTAACCATGGACAGCTTTGCAAAGCTCCTCACAGGCCAACTCCGTGCTCTGGGGCGCGGCGAGGAACCCGCAGGGTCTGGGCAGCGCCGGGGCTGCGCAGGGGAGGGACCCGGGGGGCTCCTGGCAGCCCCCGCCCGCTCCCTCCGGGGAACGGGACCGGGACACGT